GTCCTCTCTTGTCGGGCAGTGCTTGATCATTATGGGCTGAGAGGTTAAGTGTAAGGCCATTTAGGATAATACTTGATGGGCTAATCTTGCATCTGTCCACAGTCTCTGAGTTTTTATAAGATGGCTTGGCCTAGGGACCACTTAGTGTAAGTGTTGGGCCCATAAGGTCCATGTGATGGGCTCAAGGGGTTCACTGGGCTTTCTAGTGAATTCAGCTAGGCCTTGTAATAGAGGCTGGGCCGAACCCATGTGGTTGATGTGTAGATCAATGCTTGAGTCCCACGCCATACAAAGAAGCCCATCTGGGCAGCAATTTGAAAGACTATTGAGCACTTAATACATATTGGGCCTAAAGCCCATTTCGATCTGGGCTGATTTGATCAGTCACTTAAAGGGGCGGATCTGAGATTAGGTTAAGCCCAAAAGCTTATCTAATCTGCAGATAGGATTAAGAGGAGTCCTAATCCAAATACAGATTTGGATAAGGACAACTCCTAATATGATTAGGAGGTTTCTTAATCACCAAGAAAGAGGAGGAAACCCTAATTGCGAATTACTTGAATTCGAACCCTAGGGGTTTTAGCAGAATACACTCTGCATTCTTGAGATAGGATCTCAGATAACCCTAGAGAAGAAAATAGCAGTTCGCCACCTTCTTCTCTAGCATTCTCCTCCAGCAACCGGCGCCACTTTTTCTACCAGTTCGAGTTCTCAGTTAGAGAAGATCAAGAAAGGTTCTTGATTGTTTGTGTGGTGCTCTCAGTCTTCCATCGAGTTCTTCAGAAGAACCTGGTTCGTGGAACGAACACTGCTAGTTCGGCTCCATCATCACTGTGTCATCTTCAGTGGGAGCTGATATTGGGATCTTCTTTGGGCGTGAACACCAACGTTGGGAGATACTGCTTCTCCGGATCAGGTATAATCCCTCTCTTCTCTTTTGGTTCAAATCTGGTTTGGTTTGGTTCAAGTAGGATCCTTGAATTTTGATTCTAAAATCAGGGAATACGATTCCCAGTTGGAAGAAAGGTAGGRAATTTTTGAAATTCGCCCACCCATTCCGCAACCCTTTTGGCGTCCATACGATGGATCCTACCATTCTTTCAATTAGTCTCTTCCACCCAGTCACAAGATGCAGATCCAAACAAGGGAACATGTCAAAATGTTCTAGCAAGTAAAAGAAGTGGACCAGCATATCTATAAAATGCAGATTTAGATGGCACAAACATACATTCAATTTCTTTTTCAGTTATACATTCTTACTTTTACCAACATCAGGTCCCTTGCTTCCTAATAATCCATAATGCATATAAAATGTGCAATCTAGGATTTCAACAGAAAAATTTCAGAATCCCACTGCAAATGCCAAATTCTAAATTCCAAGGACTAACTAACAAGAGAACAATATATCTTACAAAATAAATTTGAGATGGATTATCAATTCCAAGCTAAGGTCATAGACAAAACTAGTGAGCATAAACCGATGCACATTGAAGGATGTTGTCAGAAATGGAGTAAGCTGATGGATAGAAGAGTAGTTCAGGATTAAACAGAATAGAGAGCCTTAGTAAATTGATCAGCAAGCTTTGGAAGACAATGATAATGAGGATGTCTTGGCAACAAAATTTAGAATCCCTAAGCTTTAATTCTTAAATGTAACCTACAAGGGACAACATCCACTGCTTGGGAAATTAAACACTAGTCACTAGTGCTGTACCTAACAACTGAAACAAAACAAGAAAAACGAAACCAACCATTAAATGAGACTCTAGAAACAAAATAGAGAAAATATTTTTTTAGTATTTTGTTTTACCTCAATCCATGTTGCTAGTTTTGGTCTTCCTTCTGTGATGTCATACTTCTTTACTTCCGACAAGAAGATCTGATATCTTTCAATAAATGGAGCATAGGCTATGTCCACCTGGAGTTGACATTTCCAATTTCAAATAGAGTGCCACAAAAAACTAGAAGGAAATATAATGAATTCTACATTGTTGCCTCATTCCAAGGTATGAAACACCCTTGTATGAAAAGCATTGAATAGTTAAAATTAAGTTGAAATTGGGAATGGTCCATTAAATGGGTACATAAATGTTTTGGCTTATCAATGTTTTATGAGAACCAAAATCATCATTAACAATGTCTAGCAAATAGCATATGCAAGTTATGACATGGAAAAAGGAAGGCATCAAAACAATCTACTTACCAGACTGAATTGGCCAAGGAAGAAAGGGCCATCGCTGAATTTAGAAAGAGCAGTTTCTAAGTGATCAAGTGCTTCTCCTGATGCAGGTTATGATACAAATCAGCTTAAGGTATAGTGGTTACGGATATCATAATTTGTTGAAAGATTGAATTCCCAAAAGAGAGCAGAATATAAATCTCACCAAGTTCTTTCCCTTCATCTTGCTTGAATGAAGTAATCACAATTCCATTGAATGTGTCACTGTAGGACAGCAACTCTTCTGCAAACTCTCTTTTGGCTGGATCCTACAGTTTTATTTTGGGTATGACTTCTATTAAACCTGTGAAACTAAGAACAAAATCTCATCTAGAATACAGACATATAATTATCTAGATCTTACATCAGGAAAAAGTGGGGGTCCTTCGAAGTGGCTGTCGATATATTTAATCAAGTCGAGACTCTCTCCTCTGACTTTATCATTATGTTCCAAGGATGGCACCTACACAAGGAAAAATAAAAGAACCTTTGAATTTGATCTTATGAGATTCAGTTTTCTTTATTTGATTGTTCTTTCTATTCAAGGAAAAAATAATATATAGAATTTGTATGATTTAACTCTTCATATAATTATATCATGTTCACCTTATTTGTAGGGTAGACTTTCTCCTTGTACCAAGCTGGCCTGTTTTGTAAATTAATAGGAACCAGTTGTATCTTATCCTTGAGTCCCTGCTCCTCTCAAGCATTAGTCGGAAAAGAAAATAAAAAAAAAGAAGAAAATTTCAAACTCTGCTAAAAAATGCTTTCAACAATGTCAATTCCAAGAAAATAAATCATTAAGAGGACTGAGAAACAACCTTGTAATTTCTAGTAATCCAGACACGCTGCGCATATGGGCATATGTAAGCTATATACAACCTTCAAGAAACAAAACCCCAAATCAGATATCCAAAGAGACACGTTTTATCATATGGGCTATTCGAGCAAAAATTTAAACGGATAGAAACAATTGTGGTAAAATACTCGTCAATGTACAAGCTTAGCGTTCTCCTTCCATACTCAAACAAACATCTAAACTAAGAATTAATTGCAGAAACCAGAGCAGGTGGATAAAAGGAAAGCAGAACCATTTACATATATGAAAAGAAACACGAACTGACGAAAGAAATAGAGTAAAATAGAATCGACCTCGTCGTCCCATCAAAGAGGGGAGGTGGGCTGGAAGTGGAATCCAGAGAAGGGGGAAGAACTTCCTGAACGCTTCTGAGAACAAGCGAAGAAACAGGAACATCAACCCATCAATGGAAACAACAAGAATAATGGAGAAATGGACAGAAAATCCTGAGAACAAAACCAAAGAAGATGAGACTGAGGTTTTACAAAGAAAAAAGGGAAAAAAAAACTAACCCGTTTGCCATTGCTCTTATAAGAACTCCGGTTCTTTTGGAGGAATGAAGGAGTTGGCATGGGAGAGTATTATAGCGGAATTATGGCGGCAACAGACTATTCTGGGTAGTTTTCACTTTTCAGGGAAGACGTCAGGAGTGACGAGTGACGGACGTCATAATGGCTGCATTGCCGCTTATTAACCGTCAGATTGACATCCAGTTATTTTCTTCTTTTCCAAATATCTGGGTAATGAAAATGCACTCGTTCATGGGACATGGGGTGTTGTGCCTGCTTCTACCTAACTCTCTCCGTTGGATGTATCTGAAGCATTTGAGAGACTAGATACAAAGCGTAAGGGACTAACTTCAAAAATATACAAGGCCTATTTTTGGTTGGGTTTTTAACGCGTCCGTGATCCGTTGGATCAAAAGTCTAATCACATCATCTTTTCAACTTTCCAACGTGTGGTTCTCGTTCATAGGCTTCTACCACGGTGTGGGAATTACACACCAAAAAAAATTTGAAAAAAAAACACGGTGTGGGAATTTAATATGGTAACGTCATCCTTTCAATACTAAAAATAAGGGTAAATTGCTGAAACCTTGCAAGTAGACCCCTTCCGTTAGGATCGTTTAGGCTAGGTTTGTTTTTTTGTGTAAAGTTTGTATCTATGTAAAAATACATCGATTGAAAAGTAAATCGATCCGTTTAAATAGTGAACTGTTTGTAAAGTGAAAAACGTATGCCGTGGAAAAAAATTACATCGATGTTGGTTTTACATCAATTATGGTGGAGTTTTCGATGTAAAACTTGCATTGAAAATAAATATAAGCGAAATCGAACCTGGTTGTAAAGTTTATTTTGGTTCTCATTTACACCAAAAACAAATATATCCCACTGTTTTCAAAATCGGATTGGACCGGAAAAACCGGGAACCTGTGTTTTCCTTCAAAACCATTTTTTTCCCTAAAATCGTTGATTTTGGTCAGCAAACCGCTGAACCGGCCGGTTAATCGTTCAAACGGTTTTGACCATTTTCCAATTTTTTATTTTTTTTTTCAGAACGGGCCGGTCATTCGGTCGAACGATCAGACCGTTCGAACCGGTAACTAAACCCCTGACCGGTTCGTTTTTAAAAACCATGATATATCCCTAATAAAAGACACGAAAATGTTCAAATACCTTTGAAATTACTATTGAGATTTGTTTCTACAAAAGAAAAAGCAATACAAACTTGAGTGATTGATATGAAGGACAAATTTGAAAAATAACTCAATTTAAGAAAATAGATTGAAAGGGTTTAGGCTAATCATTCATATGAGGAGAAAATTTAGAAAATAAATATTTTGGACATTTTCATACCTCTTTCTATAAAGGGTGTACCTACGACCATGTTAGAAAGTCCAAGGGAGGTGATTACAACTACCAAATTGCAGGAAGATTTCAACAATAACCAGAAATTTTATAGAAAGTTTCAATATAAAATAATAATGGATTTGTGTGGACTAATTGGAACAATCTTTCCGAACATCGAGCGTAATAAACCAACATATCCCACTCTCCACACTGTAGTTGGTACTGGTGGCTTCACAGTTCTCATGAAACAGTTCCTCTCTTGTATTGCGTCTTTCATTCCTAGAAACTGTAACTCTACTGACCACGAATTAGCGAAACTTGCCACCTCATGTTGCAAACGTTGTACCCAGGATTCGATTTCTCCTCCAAAGGAGAATTCTTGGATCCCCGAACTCTTGGATCTCTCCAAATTGCTCAACACAGCATCTCATCATTTCTCAGGGAGTTTCCCAGGCCAACCCACCAACAAAGATTTTTGTATATGTTGGATCCCCGAACTGCCCAGCATATGAACAGAGTGTGCCCACCACAAAACCTCCCTTGTCGTTAGTTTGTGTCAGAATCACTTCCACCATTCTCTCAAGTTTGGGATTGTGAAAGGTAGCACCTCATCGGCAGCTTGCTGCAATGACGACGAAAACACCAGTACCCTCTCGCACAATGATGAAGAGTAATCCTGCGGGAGAAGCAGGGGAAAAGTGATGCACCATGGACTTTCTTAATTTGTCGGAAAGGGTATTTTAAGAATATTTATAAAATATATCAATCAGATGTCACATTCAATGGAATATAACAGAAAATTAATGATAAGGGAGATTTTAGACAATTATCAAAAAACTTAGGAACTACTTTAAGACAATATGTAAACAGCAAGGGTACTAAGTACTCTTAGTGATTGTCCTTCTTAATTCTACTTTAAGTGCATCTGCTAATCGTGAAGGGTACCAACACTCCTAGTGACTGTCAGCTCAAGCAGCAAAGGCACTCTGAGCTAAAATATCCCAGATAGAGTCACACGCAAATAGCAACTACTCCCATGTTTAGACTTTATATGTGTTTGGTATAGTTTTCATTTATTAAATAAACGTATTTGATTTGTCTTCAAAACCGAGAAAAGTATTTTATAAACCGTTTATAGACAACTAGGTGCCACTAGGCATCATTAGGCACCACATCAAAGGAGTAGTGAATAAACGCTTGGGGATGCAATAAAATGAAGCTTCCCCCAATGATTGGGGCACACATAAATCAAAACCCACTTTGTAAATATCAATACACACGGATGAATATCATGAAAAAATGCTGATTTGGTGATGATATGACGGTATTTTGATTAATGCCTATCACGAAACACTGACTTTTTTTTCGAAAAGCAGGATACTTTTTTTTTTTGAAAAGCAAGATACTCTGTTTTAGTTTTACACTTTTACTAGATTTAATCAAATAGTGGAATAAAATGCACTTTTGGCTCAGTTTGGAAGGAGTACAGTCCAAATGGAGCCTTTAGAGTTAAAGAACAGCTCTAAAAATAATGGTCAATACATATGGTCCAAATGAAATCTGATTATGCTGATTCTCGGCACAGCCCAGCCATTGTTTTAGCTAGGAGACGAAACCCATTTAATGGTAGGCGCTAATTCCTGAAACAATGGAGAGGTGGCAAGTCATGGGGCCCTAGAGCTCATCTACAGGTCCTGTACCCATCGAACCGAGGTTCTCGTCCTTAGAAAAATAAAGATATAAACTGCTCTGTTTGTCCTGGAACTGGGGAATGCAGACAACTGCCAAGGCTATATATGGGATGGATTAATCTTTCAAGGGGCAGTTCCACTCATATTGGATACAAAGGAGAGGATAAAACCTAAATGAAGAAAATAGTCAACACAAAAAAGATGATTTGAGAATGCAAGCAATATGTTTTTAGATATTATAAGAGATGAATGCATTATAAACATGGGTTTAGATCCTCAGAGATACCCAGAGGGAAGAAATTGAATGTGATGGTGGCCCTGCGATCTAGGTAGAAGAACTAAATCGGTTCACCAGCCCATCAAAGTTCTTCTCACCCTGTCTACAACCTGTGTCCTGGCTTGACTATTTGACAAACGAAACTCATGGCTTTCTTCCAAAAGAAACTTGTATACTTCCCATTGACGACCAGAGGCAGAATACCTTCCAATTTCAGCCTACAAAAGAAAGCAAGATAGTTTTTGTAACTCCTGACTTGAAGACACAACGAGCCAAGAAACATTAAAATGGCTTCCAAGTATTACATTTCTTACCGAGAAAATGCAGATCCCTAGCATTTTTAGAGCAAGAGTAACATCATAGAAAACACGTGGCCTGCCTTTTCCAGACAATTCTACTGGATTAGCAACCAAGAGTTCAGTATCTGGCCCACGGTTGGCAATGGTCACTCGCAACGGGTGAAGCATCTCCACCTTCAAACGGGAACACAATGTGCTCTGCTTTTCAGGATCTACTATCTTTTTCCCATCAGTTTGCTGGAGAAACAGGTCCACATCTCGATAATCATTCATACTTGATGAATATCGGCCATAAGCTATCTAAATGACAAACAAGAGGACTAATTATAACAAAAAGCCAAATTACCACTACTATGGTATGCCAAGATAACATAGGTGTATAATCGTAGACAATGGACAGTTGTGGAGAGAAAAATCATTCAAAAGATTGATTCAGCATAAGAGCTCTTAGATAAGACCATACAAGTAAAATTTTGCCAAGTCCAACATGATGACATGATGACCGTCATGGTGTTGTTCCAACTGTGGCCAATCAGCAATTAATAGTAGCATATTGCGAGCATATGGCTAAAGTGCAATGAGCACAACAACTACACATTTACTGCCATTTATAGACAACTACAATCTACTTAATCGTAGGGACATCAGTTCTGGACAAATGCACACATACACCTCTGCACACGCACACACAGAGGGAGAGCAAGCTCTTTCCTTGGCAAGTTGGCATTGCTCAGCCTACATATCAAGTCTCAAACAAATAGAGAAGTTGGAGTGGAACAGATTACAAGTACCTGAATATTGCAGTCCTTCAGAGTTCTCATAATGTCATATAAAAGACACTTTTGATCAACACAATGCATTTGAAACAAGGTATGAGCTGGGCTCAAGGAATTGTCTATTGTAACACTGGCCTTCTTGAGTTTTGTCAAATCTGCACTAAGAGCTTGTGTACGAGTTTCCTTGTCCAATAGTTCACAACCAAACAGTTCCTCAGCAGCCACTGGCAAAATAGAAGAGAACTCCTGTTGAATTTCATATTCAGGTCCAGCCAACTGGAGCTCACAACTGACACAGGACTCTCCTAGAACAGAATTCAGCTGCTCACATGTCTCATCCTGTCGTTTTTTTGTGTGCAATAGCTCCCTGAAATAATACAATGCAAGGATTAAAGAGTAAATAGCCAGTAATAATCCACATATTGACATCCATACTACATATAGTCATACATTATATGGGACTGTATTTTTATGTCAGTGCACTTCTTATTCTCAACCCCTTAAAAAATTATCTTAACTTTTTGAAAATTTAAAATCAAAATGGTAGAAAAATATGGTATGATTCAGTCAACTGCCAAGATAATAATTTGATATGAACAAGCCATTCAGAAATCTATATCACATCATTCTCCCCTAAAAGCTCAGCCTTCCCCCCAAAATGCCTCCATCAGCGGCAGCATCAAAAAAAGAAAAAACTTTGCTCACTCCATCAGATAATTTGGTTAGTTCCACTGATCAATCACCTATGCTCTTCCTGTAATCCAACTTCAGAAAAAGGATGCTTCCAACACTTTGACAACTTATTGGAAGGAGTACAAATACAAATATATAGAGTGCAAAACCATGTATTCTGTATTATTTTATATACATTTGTACTGTACATTTTTGTATTTCTACTCTTTCCAAACTGAGCCTAAATACTATTTTCACAAAGGAGCAATCTCCAGAGCTGATTTTTCTTTTTTCTTTTTATTTTTGATGTCTTCTACCATATCTGTTTTTGGAAAGAGTGATTATATGAAATATAAATATTGATAAAAAAATTATATGAAATATTAATAATTTAATAGGAAAAAGGTAGGATTCATGTGCACAATAGTATGGATAGATAGCCCATACCAATACAAAAATTACAAAGGAAGGGTGCAGGGGAGCTGTCACTATATGAGAAAAACCTTATATAACCTAGACCTAGCAAGCCCATCTGCCACTAAATTCAACATTCTAGGTGTAGCAACCAAAATCTCCTAATTCTCATCAGGGAACTGAGCTAATAGCCAATGGCTGCTTCCAACACTTTGACAACTTATTTCATTTGTTGAATCCTCTTCAATAGCCAATTAAAAAACCATCAACTTGGCTAATTGGCTTTTAGTGGAAGCCACTAAATGCCTAAAATATGCTGCAACTTGACTTGACCGTGAGAAATACCACCCCAGTCCAACATACCTGGAATTTTGAAGAGAGATACCATTGAACTGTAATTTATCTCACTAACAATTGACAGGGGGAATGGGAATAGCCCCACTGGGAGGACTCACTCCCAAGGAAAACTGAAAATTTATCAGGTGGTTTTTTTTCCTCATATCACAACAGGAGATCTCATTGAGTCCATCTCTTGCCAACATCCATGAATAAGAAGAGAGAGTATCTACCCCTTGATGCCTCAATGGATGCTATCTTATTTGTCAGGACACACCTATTTCTTTCTTCAAGGTGTGATCTCAATGCCATGGTAAAATCTAGGGCTGGCAAGCATGGGAACATGGGTTTGGGTCTGAAAGCTAACACTTCGTACAAATGCCAAATGTTAGGTATATATCCAGTCCACCCCACCCAAGACCCAGATAGCTGGGATCAACATTGAGTAATGGTCCTTCTACCTATTTCTTTTTTCATTCACACTCCACACCTGAACACAAATGACTGCCTTCTAAAAGGTTTTGCCTGTAAAGCCAAAGCCAAGTTGCCCCTTCCACTGGCTAAAACATGCCTGTGAAACTGCACAGACCAACTAATAATAGACCCTTCAGACCCAAGAGTAAGTGTGCCATATGACCTAGTCTATGACGAATGAAGAAGCAAATGTGTGCTGATTCCCTGCCATTAAGATTGGAAAAAGTTGAAATCATAAGTAAACAAAAACTAAAACTGAGTAATTATAATGCTTGCTGTCCACCAACCACCATTGTCCATAGATTTCTTGACCATGCAGATGAAAATCCAGTAATATTGTGTTTTTAATTGTCATACAGAAGAAAATGACAATTAAAAAACATAATGTTACTGGATTTATGCCACAGGATGTCCAACAGGTGGTCCATTTATTTGGATACTCAGGTTCAGTAGGCATGTTTCTCAATTATACATAATTGAGCTTGATAACTGTGCAGTGGTGCTATCAGGATGCCTTGATCTAATGTGTCTATGCTGGATAGACATCACGCTAGCACTAGGCACTTGGAACACACAGTTCATGTATTATCTTTATAATGCTCCAAGCTGAAATCAGAATAAAACCTGGCACTTGGTACTCATAAACAAAATACATAGGAAAGAATGCGCCTAATAAGTTCCCTCTCTCTCACATTTCCATCAAACCATAGTTGTCAAAAATCATGTGGTTTACTAAACAATTCATCATTAAAACTATGAACAGTAAATCTCCAGAATTCCAATTCGAAATTTATGACTCAATCCCTTCCTGAAATGAGTTTTGTGATTACCATTTGAACCTTACAATCTATTCAATTAGAATTAATTTGACTCGGGCCTAGTACTATCCTTTCTTATTTTTTTTCTTCACTTCATTTCTTTAAGGTTTTTTAGACCTTAAAAACTTACTTGGGTTATATATCATACATACAATAAAGAGCCACTATGCTTGGGTCCATTGATTTTAAAGTCAAACTTGATGTTATCATCTATGCTTATATCTTGCATGTGGCAGATTTTGTTGCATTAATTACATCAAACGTCTCAATTTGCACTAAATAATGCATGGTGCTGAGTCATTTCCCCATCCTTTTTGGCAGATCATTTCTCTGCAATGCATCGACTTCTAATGACAAATTCATCTTGGTTTTATTACATATTAAAACGTTGTGTGCAAGAAAAGAAAATGTGTCCACTGAATTAACTAGGTTAACAACTTAGGTCTTGTAGGAGGGCCAGAAACCCATGGAATTAAAATATCCAAAAGAAGTTTATTCGGGCAAACTAATTAAATTGTCAGTTCAGTAGTTTTACACCTGGTGCAAGTGATAATACGTAATCCACCTGACCAAGTAAGTTTTATTGTGGTATTCTAATTCTTATTCATAGAAAAGAATGTGTCCTTGCTGGAGCATTTCATATTTGGCTATTTTGTTCCATAAGTGACTGTATTTTCTTCATGTCATTTTCATGGTGGTGTGTGAAGTGTTTTGAGGTCAAGTGTAGAGAGTTGAGGATAATTCTTTGCTTATACACAGACACACACACATATACACATGCGTATACATATTTGATAGCAAAAGAAAAAGAAGAGAATACAAGAACTGGTGCTAAGAAACGAAATCCCATCATCGCCTATCAAACTACCTCAAGCAAATGATCCGCCATCCAATAAGAATATATATCTCCCTTAACAACTAATACAATAAAAGAATAAAAAGAAATAAAACTCTTAAACCACATCAACCACAATCACCCACCTCCACAAGGAGCAATCTAATATTAAGCATTTCATTGGCACCTAATAGAGAAAGTGTTACACCTCTTCACCTTCAAAAACTCATCTCTCCCAAGACAACTTTAAAAACTCTGCCCTGTTCTTTTCCCACATAATTTCCCACAACCTGCATATCTAATCTCAGTTTGTAACTCAGAATTTTTAGTTCTCTCTCTTCGTCTTCTAATTCAAAAATATTTTCTTGCCTGTTCGTGACTCCTAGAAAGAACATATCACATACCCCAACTATATGGGGTTCGCTACATGAATCCTGTTTCGCCATTCCATTGTTGAATTACAAGCACTTAAAGTCATTTCTTATTATTTCCACCCAAATCCTTTTTGGTCTTCACATACATACATCATTTATTATTACTTTGTGCCAGTTCGTTTGGGTGTGGTGTTTTTTATTTTCATACATCATTTCTTGTACATCATCTTATAGCATGTGAAAATTGGACAAATAGAATTTATGCCATGCTGTCAAAACTGGACAGGCCAGGGCACTTGTACTTCCTTTGGCAATCAATACAATATTGCCCTGTTATTAACCAAAAAAAAAAAAATCCTCTTTAATGTTGCTTATAAAAAACAAATATAATTTTTAAACCTTTTTCTAGGTGGCGTTTGATTGCACTATTCAGACGTCTGAAGTCTGAAATAGTTGCTTTTCAGACGCCACAGCCGTTTGAATGTGCCTCTTGATATTAGGTCTGAAATGCATTTTCAGATCTTAAAATGAAAGTGGTTGGGCGAGTGCTTAATGCGCTCAGAGGCCATTCAAACCCAAAAAATTAGGTCATTCACCCTATTTTCGAACTGAGAAGAAGCTCACCGCCATCCTCTCTGCAAGCAAGCTCCACCGCCATTTCTCTGTGAACCTTCACTTCAAACCGAATCTGCTCTCTTCTTGCTTCGAACTGAAGAACCTTCTCTTCGAACCGAATCTGAATAAGCTCCCTCAAAAACCCTCGCAATCTTCAGTTTTTTTTTCTTTTTTATTGCCATGCTTGTTGGATAAACAGGAATGTTTTATGCTATTCAACCATTTGGATTCGTTTTCTTTGTGGTATATGGATAAACAGGAATGATTTTCATTAGATTTGCTTTACCCAGATTCTCTGTAAGATTTATCATTAACCAAATGTATGTTGGGGAGAAGAACTGACCCAGATTCGTTTTCTTTGGAGTTTTTTTTTTCTTTTAATTTTGTAGTTTTCTTCAATTTATCGAATATGGGGAACAACCCATCTTTAGATTCCTTTGAAGTATGTTGACAGAAGACAATTGGGCATCTTCAAAATCATCTCGTTGAAACTAGTTTAATCCCAGAATTGCATTTTTTTTAGGGAAAGAACTCCCTGTTTCAGTGTTCTGTGGTCACGCAGTTTGTATTATCAGGTTACTTTACTCATTGTATAGGGAGGGAATAGGACTTTTCAAAGAACTTGTTAACTGTGTTATACCACCTCGGTTCTACTTATAACATTTTACTTTTGGCCCATTCATTGAAGTCATATTGCTTTTTACTGGGTCTTGTTGAGTGTCCCAAGCTCTCCGGGGATGAGTAAATGAATGGTGTTAGTTTGGGGAACCAGTTGTTGGCATATCAGAATCAGAGATAAGGTGTATGTTATTTATTAATGATACAGTTT